GCCCGGCGGCGGTGCCAAGAATGCCTCCGAACCGATGCGGTTTGACTCGTTTTTGCGCGGCCCGCCAGGCCAATGTTCCGCCATCGCATGAACTCAGCGTCGCGTTCGAATTCCCGGACCCGCGCTCAGCCTGTCAGCCCTGCGTCCAAGCTATCAGCCTCGCGTCTAAACTGCCTGATAAACGTCCAAACTGTCTGGCGTGCGTCTAAACTCATTATTGTGTTCAAACTGCCAGACCTGGGACCAAACTGTCAGACATGCATCAAAACTGTCAGCTCGCAAGTCGGAAAAACTGTCAGCTCAGCTCTGCGTGCTCGGAAGTCGCTGTGTCCAAGCTGTTAGACCTGGGTTTGGGCTGTCAGATCTGCTTTCGGGCTGTCAGGCCTTCGTAAAAACAGTCCAACCTGCGTCCAAACTGTCATAATTGCGTAAAAACCGTAGGTTAGGCGCCCAAACTGTCAGATTTGGATCATATCTGTCGGTGCAAGGTCAAAATCTTGCCGCTCTTTCTACCGTGCTTCGATTGTTAGTTTCAGCATTTCTTTATCATGCCAATTTTCAATTGTTTATTCTGCAATCTTCGGCAACCTCAGTCTGTCAACTCTGACTCGATAATGATATCTCGATCCATCAGTCCTGCCGACATTTTGCTATATTTGGCACATCCTGGTGAAAATTAGGCTGTCCGAAGTGTTTTATTCGATCATACTTAAAACACTTTGACTCCGGTCTTACGTAAGTGCAACAAATACTTCATATGCTAAAATTATGGCACTGTATTTCAGGTGGCAATCCATCGTCGGGTGATAAACAACAAACCGTTGGATCCATTAAACACACAATTATTCTCGAGCGTGGCATGAATTATCCGAGCACTTTACATTTTTCGAATTTAATAAAGCATGTTTTTCACTGAAGGGCAGAAAATGCATTTGCTGTGTGCACTGTAAGAAATACTCAAATCCATACTACATAATATCACAGCACATTTGCGAATACGGTAAGAAATTATCAAATGCGCATATTTCAGTGTCAGAGAAAATTTGCGACATTCATTTTATGTCTATGTCGGGCAGATTGTAAACTTACAAGACACCAGCTGGTTACGCCTTTGTTCATGGCGAGTTTAATGTCTGGAATGATCATCGTGTCTAATTTTTCATTCGGCATCGCCATGGCACACAATATCTTCCCCCAACGTGAACTTCAGGAAGGACATCAAAAGCCGTGGTAAGCTTGAAAAGCGATGTCTAATCATGTTGTTGATGTCCTTGAATGCGGTGCGGCATTGACCACAGAAACATTCTTTCATGGCGCGCTTGCCGCGTCCGGAAGTTGACGATGCATTCAGCGGTTTATTCATGAGAGGTCAGGAGTTTTTGATGGGCGATGGTTCATGCGCGGGTGAATCTTCTGGTGCTTGAAAAGCGATGAGCTCCGATTTCAATTAAAACATGTCAGGTGGTCCATTATGGAACGGGGACATCGAAAATGGCATTTATTTTGCAATATCATATGACCTTCAAGGTCAAAAATACGGTCAAAGGACATGAAACTTCATAGCAGCAGAAAGTTAACGGTCATTTATAAACTTCCAAGCATCAGAATATTCACCACAACAAAACCTAGTGTCCGTAAACAGAAAACTTCTGACCTCAAGGTCATCTCTCAAGGTCACCTCCTAAGGTACCTCTCAAAGTCGAATTTAGCTCAAGGACGGGAACCTCTATATCACCAAAGAACGTACGACCGATTTTAACTTTTCAAGCATCGGAATGTCCACCAACATATGAACTAGTCTCCGTCAAGACTCCTGACCTACTCTCTCCACCACTACCCCCTGCCTCTAAACAGTAACTCGCCTAAATTGGCTAGAATCACATGTTTCTGACCGCAAGCAGATTATCAAGGTAGGGCAACAGTCCCCCAAGGCAATACATGCTTGATTTCCGGAGGGGTCGGTTCTGGGGTCTCTCCGTGTGCCTGTATATATATATATATATATATATATATATATATATATATATATATATATATATATATATATCCGCTATCATTATCGTTATCCGCTATCCGCTTATCGTTATCCGCTAGGTCGTTAAGATGTATATATATATATATATATATATATATATATATATATATATATATATATATATCCGCTATCATTATCGTTATCCGCTATCCGCTTATCGTTATCCGCTAGGTCGTCAAGATGTATATATATATATATATATCTCTCTCTCTCTCTCTCTCTCTCTCTCTCTCTCTCTCTCTCTCTCTCTCTCTCTCTCTCTCTCTCTCTCTCTCTCTCTCTCTCTCTCTCTCTCTCTCTCTTAACGACCTAGCGGATAAAACTGACAACATGTTGTTTTTTCCCGACGATGCCACGCTATACACAGCACGCTCACACGACCAAGCGGCAATACAAGCGTCAGTTCAACACGACTTGCAGAGAATACATGAGTTCCGTATGAATTGGCCTGTCACTTTCAACGCCACAAAAACAGTTCAACAAACATTCACCAACAAAAACACTCATAACCCACCGCAACTGGCACTTGGTGGCCACGAATTCCTTTCGTTACAAGCCACAAACGCATTGGCTTAACGATATCTACTGACTTGCACTTTCATCAACACGTCGGTGACGCCATTTCTAAAATTGGTGAAGCCCTTGGGCCTCTGCCCATCATCACCAGGTCTGCCTCGACATATTCTGAACGACATACATACGGCTGAGATTCTTCCTTTTTTATTATTGTGACGTAGTATATACACACACACACACACACATATATATATATATATATATATATATATATATATATATATATATATGTGTGTGTGTGTGTGTGTGTGTGTGTGTGTGTGTGCGTGTGTGTGTGTGTGTGTGCGTGTGTGTGTGTGTGTGTGTGTGTGTGTGTGTGTGTGTGTGTGTGTGTGTGTGTGTGTGTGTGTGTGTGTGTGTGTGTGTGTGTGTGTGTGTGTATGACGAACTTTTGACAAGCAGCGGCTCTCCTAGACTTGACAGACTACAGCACAGAGCAGTCAGACTGATCACTGGTGCTCTCTACAGAGTACGCATATACACACCGTGGAACGATTTAGGATGGAACACTCTCAGGTTGCGGAGAAACACACACAAACTGACGCTGCTCCACACCCTCATCCACAGTCAACATCAACTGCCAACAAACGTCACTGCATTTTTTCCTGACACACGTGCACTCGCAACAGCGCGTCCGCTATGCAATGCAGTAGCATTCACATCGCCACCAGACAGAACCTCAAGATAGCAACACTCTTACATTCCACCAACCACGAGAAAATGAAACCAGCTCCCGCTTGATGTGTCATACCTCCAGTCTTCCCGTTCCTTCAAACGGGGCATGTATCAGCGCTGCGGTGTGGCTGCATCTCCATTGTATCACAAGTTTTGATCCAGGCTTGTTAACATCTTGAACACCAAGCTGAGTTCGGGAATGTCAGACCTTAATGCACATGTTCGAAATTCAAAATCCAACTGCACCTAGTCCCTCTTGCTTGTGTGGCTATCCATATGGAGACCCTAACCACTTTGTGTTGAATTGTCCTGCCATCATGAAATCATAATTGTGTTGAACTGTCCTCGCATCGTGAAATCATAACTTCAATACTAGGTAAAGCAGATCGCATCATTCAAAGCTTTTTTGAGCTCACTCACATCGAGCAATTCATCTATCTCACGGGTAACAGTTTACAACATTGCACTGGGCAGCATATAACAAACATTTTCCAAACATTTTTTTCAAATCAAATGATTCACCTTAAAACCTCCAGTTGGCGCGGGCAGCAGACCGGTGACTGAGCGGCGTTACCGGGCCGGGCATCCGCCGCCGGCCTGAGACAGCTACATGTGTAAACTGGAGCGGCGGCGGACGCCTGGCCCGTCTTGGCTTGCAGACCGGACGGTTGGGCGGTGGGCCGTGGGTTCCCTGGCGGTGGCGGCTGTATTTTGTTATTGTTGGGAGAGGCGCTCAGATTTAAGCGTTCCGCCTTAGCGCCAGTCCACTCATCATATCATCTACTGCTTCATATCCATAATCGAAAACAGTCAACAAACAACAAACAAACCAACCTCTCAACGTCGCGTTTCAAGGTCAAATTCACACTTAAAGAACGGATAACTCCATATCACCAAAAAGGCCGATTTCAACAACGGTGGCGCCTCGCCGTCCGACCGCCGTCGGTCTCTGACTCCCAAGAGCACAGACGACCTTCCACGGTCGGTCGGGGCCCGCGAGCCGTGAAGAAACTTTCTCTTATCGTGCCAGCCTTCCTTCGCCATATCGCGTCATGGCCAGCCATGACTGTGGCCATATCAGGTTGCTCACCTCCGCGCGAGGGTGTGAGCACGGGGGGGGGGGGCGTCACGCGGACCGGCCGTCTCGAGCTGGCCAACGGTTGACTCATCACCCGTTCCAGGTGCACTTCACTGTTATTCGTGGTCGAACCAATGACTGGTCGGGGATTTTTCACGGCGTTCAGACATACCCGGCCTTTCATGGCGTCCAGCCATACCCGGCCATGCCCGGTTTTTCACGGCGTCCAGCCAGGCCCGGCCTTTCACAGCGTCCAGCCATGCCCGGCCTTTCACGGCGTCCAGCCATGCCCGCCCTTTCATGGCGTCCAGCCATGCTCGGCCTTCCACGGCGTCCAGCCATGTCCGGCCTTAACCCGTGGACAAGGACTTTGTTTTGGTGGTGTGGGTGGCTGATTACAGACATCGTGTCAACTGGTCGCAGACCCACCATGGCCACGCATGTGATCTCAGCAATGCCCTACGTATCTGGAGAGAACCGCGGCCGGCTGGCAGGCGCCGCCGTCCCCAGCGCGCGCCGCTTATAACGAGGAGGCGCCCTTGTCGCCGGTCTGCCGCCGCTAGCCGTGACTAACCGACGGCTGCCTTGCTGCGGCTGCAGGCGGACCGGAGCGGGCGTCGGGAGTGCGCCGGACCGGCCGACGGGCCGCCATCCTGCGCCGCGTCGCGGAGCTGGAGCGCCGACAGTAAGTGGGCTGGGGTAGCGACAGTAAACAAGCTGGAGCGTCGACAGTAAGTGCGCTTGGGTAGCGGCAGGAAGTGAGCTGGAGCACCGATCGTAAGTGAGCTGGGCAGCGACAGTAAGCGAGCTGGAGCATTGACAATACGTAGGTTGGGGCGCTGACAACAAGCGAGTTGGAGCACCGACAGTAAGTGAGCTGGAGCACCGACAGTATGTCTGGGGCACCGACAGCAAGTGAGCTGGAGCGCTGACATTAAACGAGCTGGAACGCCGACAGTAAGTGGCGCCGCCCACTTGGCCGCGCTTCCGGGCGACGGGCGCTGCGCTGTCTCAGTGGCCGCTGCAACGATTCGCGCGTCCACCGGAAGTCTGGCCCGAGGTCGACTGTAGGTCACTGGTCAGATCGTGCTCATCAGGCAGTCTTGGCGGGTGTCCTTTTATAAAGATTCGCACTGATGTGAATGACTTTTTAGATGCTAAATATTTGCTATAGAAGCGGCGGATTTGTGTTTTTAACAGCTGAGAAACAGGTTTCCCAATGAAGAGCAGTGTCTAGAGTTGACACTACGCCGAATTGATTTTGGTGATGCACCGCGAGCTGGACGTGGGCTGATGCAGATTCCTGCTATTCAAACCAACAAAGTATCTGATTTATTGAACAACTGGCCTATTGGAATCTCGTGGTGCCTTCACTGGACTCATGGGCTGCTCGTGTTCCAGAGAAGCGTCTCGTCAGGGGGCGGCTGGGCCGGAGGATGACGAGAAACGCTGGCTTTACTCTCAGATAGAGCTGCTTCAGAAAAGGATCCAACGACTGGAAACTGGACAAGTAAGAACTGCTGAGCCTCACCGCGTTACCAACCAGCGCATAATACTGTCGCTAACACTGGTCGACCAGTTTGAGCAAATCCGCTCGCCGCGTTGATTTGACCTTCGTGCATACTTCGATCCGGATCGTGGCACTTTGACTCCTGATATGTCCGAAGTGCTTAGCCAAATGCGGCCGCATGAGCGTGCAAACCTGACGCCTGCAATAATGCAAATGCGTAGAATGAGCTTCGAGCTTACTGAGCTTAGGTTTAGAGTTTATTCTGTTTATCTTTGCTTTGTCGTTTTCTTCTCAGTTATCAGCAACTCAGTGCATCAGAAAAGACTATCTGAATTACCGGGCGATCGCAGCCAAAATTGACCGACGGCGGCAAAATCATATTGCTTTTATATGTGATAGGGACGCTGCCGATGATCTCCAACCGACTGACGGCTGATACGATGCCTGTTTGCAAATACTGGCGGATAGTCGTCACAGTTGCCGACCGAGTCAGTGCCGGTCTGGATGCACACTCACCCTCGACAGAAAACTCCAGACCCGTCCGCCCTAATCCCACACGGCTGTGAAAGCGACGCGCTCCGTTCTCCTCGGCCGCCGTCGGGCCCATTGGGCCGGTCGTCTGTCCCGGATCCCGCGCTGAAGTGCCGCATGGCCTTGCATTGTGTGGCGCGCGGCTGTGCCGTCGCATTGTCCGCCGTTTCCGGGCCGCCGGTGTAATCAGCCCGCCTCCCTGCACAACGGCTAATGCGACTGCCATCGGCAGGCCGGCTCGCCTGGCACCGCTTCTGACTCGGCATGCCCGGAGCCGGTTATACAGCCGCCGCCGAGTGACATCGGCCCAGAGCTGAACCGACTCCGCGGCGAGATGGACGCCATGGTGAGAGGGGTCTCCGGTGGTTAGATTAGCTCACGTGAACGGCACGGAAGCATGAACGTCCGTTCACGTGGGACGCGCCAGTGCGGATGCTTTACGCGGTACGCGTGTTGGCTTGGTCTGTACAGTATGCAGCGGGTGCACGTTTGATTGTTTGATCCGTGCGCTCGTGCCGGCGTTGCGCTCGGGAGCTCGTGCGCACGCTGCTGTATGTGGCACGTGCCGCTCTGCCCCTTACATGTCAGACGTTCGTCCGGCCGTTCTGCCCCGCGCGGCCGGCGGTGCGGTAGTGTGACCTCGAGCTCGGCGGGTGCTCCAGCCGCCCACCGGCCGCCTGCCGCCAGTGTCCGGCTCTCCCCACAATGTGACGCGCTGCCAGCGAACGCCCATCAGTGCCTGCCCAAGGGGAGAGGGCGGAGTCCTGCAGTACGGACGCGGCAGTACGGTCCTCTTTCTGCAGTCGTCCTCGTCCTCCGAGGATGAGGAGGAGGAAGCGGAGGCGTGTGCCGGAGCTGAGGACACAGCCGGCGGCCCTCTGCAGCCGGATGCGGCAGGGCTGCGGCGGCGGCGTGGCCCGCTGGGAGGTCTGGACGCCATGGACTGGGCCGACAACCCTCTCTGGCACAGCGGTCCGCCAGCCATCGGCGCCAGGGACATCGGTCCGCTGTCGCTCCGACTGGACCACCAGGTCAGGGCTGTGTGGCGCGCTCCGCTGCCCACCGCCGCCTGCCACCGGATGCTGAAGAAACGCCGCGTCGCTTCCTCGCATGGACGACAGGATGATGCATTTTAGTTTGATGTTTGTTTCTGGGCCGTGCATGACAAGAATTTGTGATTACCCGACTGCGTAACTTTTTGTGCGGCATATGATAACAATAATTTCGTGTTGCTCGACATAGTGATGCTAATGGCATGCTCGGTCATCAAAGCAATAATGTTACGCCTCATTCTACAGGTTTGCGTGAGACGATCTTGTTGAGAAAGTGATTCGGATGGCATTTGAAGTCGGTGATCGTCCGAGCGCGAATATAAATATATATACATATATATATATATATATATATATATATATATATATATATATATATATCGTTACTAATTATCTAAAGCGCCTTCCTCATTTTTTGCACCGCCTATCAAGTTCTCTACGTCAAACAACTTACTTGTTGTATGCTTTGCCGCCGCATACATATTGCTGTGTGTGCCCCACTTTTGTTTCCACTTAGGTCTCTCCTGGCACATCCGTTTCGCTCGAGGACAGGGCAAATGGCTTTTCACATGTGTCACCGTAATGGTTATCACGGATCTTTAGTCTCAAGTCTGTCCTGTTATGCTCTCTTCACATCTGCCCTCCTTTCTCTCCTTTGTTACTACTTTCTTTTATCGCATCGCACTCTGAATGCTTCCGGCTCTTTGGCCCTCACCGACTCTCGTGAGACCTTCCGCGGCCCCGATCCCGACGTCTCGCCCCTCGCTGACCCGTGGTGACCTGCTTAGCACCTCACCGCTGTTGACCGCGTGCCGACCGACCCCGGTCCGCTGGCAGGGGGCGAGCGGCAGCTGGCTGCCGGCGCCGCGACGGCCGCCGCCCGAGCCGGGCGAGACGGCCGACCCGTCGCTGTCTCTGCTGCACTTGCTGCACTCGTCAGACGGCGAGCTGATGACGAGCACCCTGCTGAGCATGTCGTCTAGTGCCGAGAGCTGCGCGGCGCTGCGCCAGTCGGGCGGCCTGCCGCTGGTGGTGCGGCTCATCCACGCGCCGCAGACCAGTCCCCCGGCCGGCACCCGGCCCCGGCCCGACAGACAGGTGGGTCACCAGGCCAGACCAGGCCAGACTGGATCAGGTCAGACCAGGCCAGACTGGAACAGGTCAGACCAGACCAGACCAGACCAGACCAGACCAGACTACAGACAGGCCATGCCAGGCCATGCCAGGCCAGGCCAGGCCAGGCCAGGCCATGCCAGGCCAGGCCAGGCCAGACAAGATCAGACAAGACCAGACCACATTATACCACACCACACATGTGTGGCCGCTCAACAACTGACTGGACCATGCCGGAGCAAATCTGATCAGCCCCCAGCATGAACCGAACCGTCGATCAGCTAACAAGAGAAGCCAACTGAGATGCATGACGGCGATTGCAGGTGAAACCACGAACGATGTTTTGTGCACTAAAACATGAGCGACACGGCGAAAACGCTCGATAGGGGATCGGAGTGACCCTGGCTATCGGGCGAATGTAATCACTATGCTAATGGCGCACGAGACATTGTCCTGCCCAGCGTCACGCACCGTCGAGTAGATACGCGTGTCTGGTGACCAGACAGGGAGATGGCATGCTGTGTCAGTGTCAGGCTGCTGAATACCGAGTCGTACCTATGAGGCTTCCCAACGTGGCAGTGGTCGGGCGGTGAGGGACGCCCAAAGCCTTCATGCGCGCCGATCGGCGGTAACATCAGACGCTGAATGCGTGTCTTTAATACAGTGAACGCTGACAACGGCAATTACTGATTCCTCATTTACAGCCCCGTCCATACACCCGTCAGCTGCCAGTTTACTGTAATAGTGCAACCCGACGGGGCGGAGGGCTGCGAAACATTCAGGATAACAGAGACCCGTTTTTGTGAGACAATGGCTTTGGCAGTTATGAACCATTTGTGTCGTGCACACCACGTAGTAACGCAACTATCAGTGAAGTGTCCATTATGATGCGTGGAGACAAGTACTATGTCGCTTGTGTCCATTGGTAACCGCCCACTCAGCCGTTACTGTAAGCTCACTGAAGTGTGTAAAGAAGTGTAGTGAACAAAGTGTACCGACTTAAGTGTATACCCACCCCCGCATTTACGTGGCGCCGGCTGTGACCAGCAGGGCTTTGACCTCTGTAACCCGTTCTCTTTCGCCGCTGTCTGTCCTCCCCAGTTGACAGGTCCCTCGCAGTTTGACCCTGACAGGGCTCTGACCTCTGTGGCCCGTGCTCGTCTGCTGCTGTATATCTTCCCCAGTGTGACAGGTCCCTCGCCGTTCGACTCTGGCAGGGCTCTGACATCCGTGACCCGGCTCGTTCGCCGCTGTCTATCCTCCCCAGTGTGACAGGTTTCTCGCCATTTGACCCGGCCTGTTGTGTCGCAGGTTCGCTCGTCAGCGTCGCATGCGCTGCACAACCTGGTGCACTCGCAGGGGGACGACAAGCGAGCGCGGCGCGAGGCGCGCGTGCTCCGTCTGCTCGAGCAGCTGCGCCAGTTCACCGAGGGCCTCTGGCAGCGGCTGGACGAGCAGGGCCACGGCATGATCATGGACGGTACGCTCGAGCCGACGTGCTCGTAACAGCCAGTTCGTCACGGGCGGTCTGTGGCAGCTGATCGCTCTGCTGTCGGTTGCTACCTGCTGCTAACAATTATAATCGCTCTTAGCTATGTTAGGAGCTTTTTTCTTTTGATTTTGCCGTCTTGGAACTTTTGTTCTTTACTCTATTTTTTGGCAATATACCTGCACGGAATGTGTCCCTTTGGATGGCGTCGACTGTGGGGTGGTGTGAACCCGCGTCATATGTTGCGAACACCGAATCTGCTTGCTGTTTATGCACTGCTGTGAGGGGGCCCCAGCTCCGACTGCGAGGAGCTCACCCGCGGCCAAAAACGGGAAATGGTTCGTGCGAACTTCGGGCCTGGTTACTGGCACTGCTGACTTTTGTACCCTGTGGAATTGAAGTGCACCCTGAAGAATTGCGGTGCAAAGGTCGAACGGTGACCGGAACTGGATTTAATGTGCCTGCAAGCCGTACGTAATAATATTGCCATCGTTATTATTTTCTGACCTGTTAGGTATTGATCGGGTTCAGTTCGGCGTTCGCCATATGTCCCCTTCAGTCTGAAAACACGGCCGTCACTGCTGCGCCCCCCCCCCCCTCCCCCCCCCCATCTGG